CCATCACAACATGACCGGGGCACCATCAAAACATGACCGGGACACCAACATGACATGACCGGGACACCTTCAATTTATGACAGGGACACCATCCGCCCACCAGCTCTGACGGTGACCGGACAGTGCCCGTCCGCCCATTAGTTTTGCAAGACCACATAGCATGGCTATTGGGGAATTAAACAGTGTTAACTGTTAAGATCTGTTAAGTACAACAACATATAAGTGAACTTACGCACTCTAGAGCCCACATGTGAGCGCACAAGCGCGCGTAAACATAAGCATATGAGAGCAAATACATAAGAGCACACACTGCATTCAAAGACACACGTGTGACAGGACACAGGCGAAAGCAAACACATGAGATCAAACATATGACATATGACATTCTGAGAGCAACACGTGAGCGCGCACATGTGAGAGCACAGGCACGAGAGTACATTACAGGAGCACACGTGTGACGGCACACATGTATCAGAACATGCATTTGAGGCACACGTATAAAAGCACACAACGCACTTATGGAATCGCACTGGGCGGTCCACAACGCGCTGCATCTGCTACGAAATCTGCACAACTTCGAACAAAGCGCTGCGCCTGCCAGGAGATCTGCATTTCGAGGTGTACAAAGTGCTGTCCCTGCATGGAGACCTGCACTTCGAGGTTTGCTGCGCCTGCTGGGAGATCTGCATTTGCGACTGCCACGTATACATAGCCGAGGCAAACAGAGCGCTGCGCCAGATCTGCACTCAGTGGTCCACAAATAAGCCCTGCGCCTGCCCTGAATCCTGCACATCAAAATGCACATCGCGCAGCGCTGACACTGCCTTTCACAAACACACGCTAATTCTGCAAACAAACCACGTGTCCAAAGTTTATTCACTGGACCTGCCACGAAATCAGAGAATGACAGAGATCACCACCAAGTCCAAAGCGCTGCATCTGCCGTGAAATTCTGCACATGGAAGTAAAAGGGCTCCAATCTTCTGCACCTCCGCGAAAAGGCGACTGCATATAGCACAAAAGCCAGGGTTCCCTTGCGCCTGCCACGACAAGTGACCGCGACCACAGTGGGAGCTTGCGCGGGGACTTCTTTTCAACATGTGCTTGCGCGAGCTCGTGCTACAACAGGTTTTGTTATGTTTCCTGTGTTTTTTCTATGTGCGGCATATGCCTGAGCCAGCTGACAACATGGAAACTCCTTGCAGTCTGCATGCAGCTGACAACATGGCCATAGTGTAGATGGGGTGGTGAGCTTGAAAGAAGGTTGAACTGTGATCTCCAGGTGCACGGGCATACTTCTTGATGATGGACGCCAACTCTTCCATGACTATTTTCTTTTGTTCAGCCCCCATGGCCCTATGTGGAAGATGGGTTCGTGCAAGTTGTCCGGGCTTTGCTTCCCCTCCTCCTAGCTATATAACCCTGTAGTTATATAGCAATTGTTGTGGGGGGTAGGTGGGGGAGGGCACTGTGGCTTGCGCGAGCCTTACGCGAACCTTGCGCGAGAATTTCCGTACTTCTGAGGGCATAAACTCTGAACCAAACAGCGTACCATTAAACAAGCAAACACAAAGTCGAGTCAAAACATGTTACACCACTACATTATAAACTCCTCTCTCCAGTCAAAGCGGCTACATGAATACATACATTATTCATGTCTCCAATAAACACAATAGATACAGAAACCCATCAAAAGATCCACAAGCAACCAGTTGGAACAAGGACATGCACAGGATATAGAGTCGTGAACCTACATACAGTTCATCTAAGGTGTGTCATACAAACAGTCAATCAATCAAACACTATTAATATGATACTTGCTCAACTTTGCGCAAGCAAAAGGTCTTGGGCGAACCTTGTGAAAAGCTTGCGCGCGTGTGGCCCCATGCAACGTTCGAGATAATAAATTCCCCGGAAGATAAAACTTCACTACCGCCAGTTTAGCACGCGGCTCAGTTGCCTTCAACGACCTCACCCCAAGATGCCATTTGGCAAAAAAGCTGCAAAATACCGTCTACACTCTGCACATCTCTGCACTCCAGTGACACCAAAACCCTTTGCACCCAACTCCCCCCCGCTTCCCGCTTCCCCGCTCCGCCGCGCCCCTTCCGCGCGCGCCTTCGGAGGTCGACCCATACCCATCAGTGAGGCCCGACGCCGACGCGGCGTCCGGCCACGGCATCCGCCAGCCCAAACGCTGCCTGCGACGGAGCGGTCCCACCACGGTCAGCGGTGGAGCGGAGCGGTCCCGGCGAACCGGACGCGTCCGGAGAACTGCCCTCCAACGGTGTGGCGCGGCTGGTGGAGGTGGAGGGAAGGAAGGGAACCATCCGGGAACACACGCAGGACAGGAGAAATCAAACGGCCGAGTCCCTCACCGGAGAACCGGAGAACAGGGTCGGAGTGGTTTCTTCACCATCGCGTGGGCGAGTCGATCGCCAAGAAGAAAGTGATCATCATCCCAGTTTCGAACATCAAGGGGGTTGAGCCAGAATCTTGCACCCTGATTGAATCCAAACGCCAATCCGGGATTAAGAAGGTTGCACAAACCCAGAAGTGTACGGTTCAGTACGCCCTTCAGTACGCCCTTCAGTACGCCCTTCTTTTGCCCCACCAAACACGTCGCTGCACTTGGACCCTTCCACCGGTCCCCTCGCCGGGCCGCCCCGCCGCTGCACAGGCAATCCTTTGCCTCCCACGAAAGCGGTCGCACGGCCAAGGCCCCGGAGACGACGTCCGGAGACGACGTCCACTGGGTGACCGAAACGGGTGCAGTCACCAACCAATCCATTCATGACTTTGTGACGAATCTCCGCTCAACCACTTGACTTACCGCCCAAAACGCGCGGCTCAATCTCGGCGCCTGAGCTCTTGCCCTTGCCCGATCGAGGCCAACTGTTCTGAAGGCCCATCTCCCGCACATTGTCGGCTAAGGTTTGCTCCATGGACAAGAGCAGTTCGATGGAAACGTACCTCCACCAGACCACTGGAAGTCTGAACCAAAAAGTCTGAACCAAAAAGTCTGCCAAACTCCGCCTGGCTCTGTGTGGAGGTCGGATGTAGGATGGAGAGTCAGAAACCGCTTCTGGCTTCATCGACGTCGTTTCGCACCGTGTGGCGAGCCCCAAATCCCATCATCTTTGGCTCAAAAGGACACACCTGTTTGGATCCCGATCGGAGCTCATTCGGTCAAAAAACAAGATGGAGCCCACGAACCCGAATGCAAACACGTTCGAAAAGCTACATATGTCCAAATGACACTCTTGTAGGACGCTCTTGTGGGACACTCTTGTAGGAAACTCTTGTGGGACACTCTTACGGGACACTCTTGTGGGACACTCTTGTGGGACACTCTAGTAGGAAACTCTTGTGGGACACTCTTGTAGGAAGCTCTTGTGGGACGCTCTTGTAGGACACTCTTGTGAGACACTGTTGCGGGACACTCTTGTGGGACACTCTTAAGGGACACTCTTGTGAGACACTCTTGCGGGACACTGTTGCGGGACACTCTTGTGGGACACTCTTGTAGGACACTCTTGTGGGATACTCCTGTAGGACACTCTTGTGGGACACTCTTGTAGGAAGCTCTTGTGGGACGCTCTTGTAGGACACTCTTGCGGGAAGCTCTTGTGGGACACTCTTGTAGGACACTCTTGTGGGACACTGTTGCGGGACACTCTTGTGGGACACTCTTAAGGGACACTCTTGTGGGACACTCCTGTGGCTAACTCATTTGGGACACTCTTGTGGGACACTCTTGTGGGACACTCTTGCAGGACACTCTTGTGGGACACTCTTGTGGGACACTCTTGTGGGACAATCTTGTGGGACAATCTTGTGGGACACTCTTGTGGGACACTCTTGTGGGACACTCTTGTGG